CTCGGCCTTCCCAGCCAGCCAGGACTATGGACACATGTCCGCATGCTCCGTGTGTGCAAGTCATGCTGGGAGCTGCAACGTGAGTTTCCATATGTCCCCCGGCATTGAAGAGTGACGCGTGACCGCTGCCCCGCCCAGCCAGGCCGGGCTGGCTGATGGGTGTATAGCTGGCTGTCGGCTACCGGGTCAACGTCGCTGATTTCAACTGGACTCTCTCCTGTCTGGGACCTTGACAAAGGGTGACTGCTCTGAGGGACTCATTCTTCACACTAGCAGAGAGCTCTAGAAAATGATCAGGAATGAGAGTCGGGTGTGGGACTGGCATGATGTCACTTTCGTTTTGTGCACTGAAGCAAGCGACAGGACCAGCGCAGGTTCAAACGGCGGGAATTCTCCACCCGTGACAGGAAGAATGTGGTGGCCCTGACAGTCGTCACACAGCGTATGCACATCTCAAGTCCTCTCTCCGTGCGCCTTGATTGTGCATGTGATCTGTGTCAACGAAGCATTTTACACTCGGAGAAGGGAACGGTGCACAGGGAGATCGGAGCCCCTTCTAGTCGGCCATCACACCCTCACACAGTAGCTCTGGCTGATGGGATCCGGACACGGCCAGAAGCTCGGGGACAGTCACGGGGTCTGCAAAGGGCCCGGGGAGGCTGTGCCAGCCCTCGAGTGTCCTGGACACCAGCACCGAGTCCCACCCCGCTCGCCGGCTCCCCGTGCACTGACGTCGGGCCGTGCCAGTGTTCTCTGTGCAGTGGCTTCTGCAAGGGGTAGCCCCGTGTCCCCTCTGTCTCTGCAAACAGAAGTCCCACGGTGAGAAAAGTGGCCTGCTTTACTTCGACGGAGGAAGCCTGCGCTCTGGGGATCTCTGGGCAAGGTACCCACGATACACACGTGGGAGCCAGCTCCTGGACACCCGGTCCCGGAGGACGCTTCCTCCCTTCGCTGCCTTCCCCTGGGAGAAGCAGGGTGCTGTTTATGTGGCGTTCAAGCTCTGATGGAGGGCTGCCCCAAGGAAGCAGAGAACACGCTAATCCCGGGCTTCTCTGGGCCTCTGGGAGGGGACCCTTGAGCATGCACTGAGGAAACGGTGTCACCAGGAGCAGCTGTCACCACCCAGCCGTCCAGGGAGCTGGGTCTGCAGAGCTCTCTCGGGGCAGGGCCACTGTGACATTGCCAGACTACCACCGTTCGCAGCCTCTCCCAGGGGCTCCGGGCTGAACGAGGTTCTTCTCAGCGGCACGCCATGGACCTAGGCTCCAGGAGACCGAGTGGAGCGCACTGGCTTCTCGGCATTGCAGGACATTGTACTTGAGAAGGGACAGGGCACACAGGAGGCGTCTGAAGGCCTCCGCATTCCTCGGAGCAGCCGAGGCCGCGCTGCGGTCTGACCTGGAAGGCTGCCCATTCTATGGCTTTCGGAAGGAGCGGGCTCAGAATGCAGTTCGCCCCTGCTGTTTCCTGACCTGAAGCCGCTCAGTTTGTCTAAGGAAGCCTGGGTAGGAGCGGGGAGGCACAGCAGAGCAGACCCAGCCCTCCCCACCCCGTCCCAGGTCCCCAAAGGGCAGCATGGACAGATGCCATCAGGGCAGCCGGGAGGACCAGCAGCACAACAGGCTCAGGGGTCAGGCAGGCTCTGGGGCACCATCGCCAAGACAGCGCCAAGCAGGCAGCTCTCGGCTAATGAACTTGCACCAGCCAGGGGTGACAAGCCAGAAAGTCCTCAGCTGTCCCGCTCAAGCTGGTAATAAGGATGACAATGAGACCTCAGAGACCTCTTCATTCTCAAGGTGACGCATTTGTTCGGCACCATCCAGCCAAGCCCACATTCCATTCAGGCCGTGTGTGTTCCTAAGGGGGAGATCACCCCGTCTGGGATCGTCAGTCCCCATCCACTACCCCACGTTCCCATTCAGACCTGAAGGTGGGCCCCCAGGAACTCGGCCTCTCAACAAGCCACGCAGCTGCTGCAGGTAACTGTGTATCAGCCAGGGCGGGGCAGGCTGCCGTGGCGAGCAGCAGCCCACGGCAGTGGCGGCAGGTGCTCCCCGGGGCCCACGCCCCCCCATGTGGCCCGAGGATCCAGGTGCCCCGTCTAATACCACCTGCGTGTGGGTCTTCACTGCCTCTTGTCACTAGCTCGTTTCTCTCCTTCATAAGCAAGAGAGACAGAAAAGAGAGTGAGCTCCAGCCCCTCCTTCCAGCACAGAACGCCCCAGCCTGCAGCCAGCGCCAGGTCCCGGATGCACACATGCCCAGAGTACACAGGGCCGTCTCCAGACTCGAACTGGGAACTTGCCATGTGGGTTAGCCTCACAGAACGTTGTCTGACGGCCGTGCAACCCTCCAGCCCAGAACTCACCCTGGCTCTCTATTATCATCTTGTAATTTCCCGAGTGCGCGTGTGTTTGCCAGAGAGACATGGGGGGAAGACATGCCCCATAGAACACGATCACACCGCAACCCTTTCCCTCATTTCTCCCCTATCGGGAGAGACAGGCACACGCGTGTGTCTGGCATGTTGTTCCAGCTGCTAGGATTCAGACTCCGGTCGGCCTGTGGTACCTGGCTCCTTAGCCGCTAGGATGCAGAGCTGGCCCTCGCTGTCCTTGGAAGTGGCTGCTGTCATTCCCATGCAGTCACCACCCAGAACAGGCTGTATGACCCCCTGGACAGCATGGGCCCCTGGGAGATGAACCCTGGGTCAGTCTCCACCGCACCAGCTCCAAACATGCCCACACTTGAGCGCTGCAGAGGCGGAGAGAACCCTGCAGCCTGGGCCAGCCCGGGACAGGCTACCTACCACCACGGTGGACACGCCGGCTGCATGGAGCGTGACTGGCAGATTCGACTTGGGGCAGGTCTCCCAGAGTCAGGGTAATGTGTGGAGGGGCGCTGTCATTCATCCTGTGTTCCGCACAGAAATGTGCTTGGGAGAGTAAGCCGAGGCCGTCCAGAAGAGGGGACGAGGCCCGGTCAGCGTCTCTGAGACAAGAATTCACAGCTGGCTCTCTTGTCTGCCTGGGTGCCCAACACTGGGCACACTCACCCAGGTCGTCAGGCGGTCACTGGCCTGGAACGCAGGCTCCACGAAGATTGGCCCAGCTCACCCACGGCAGGCCTCTGTTTGCTGCAGCGACAGTGACAGTGAGGAGCTAATGACTGCAGTTGGAAAGTGCCGAGCGGGTAATTAATTCACAGGTCTGTGCTTCCCAGAGGGGGCAGATCAATTAGCTCCTCGCACTCCCAGGGTGTCCCAGAGCAGCTTCATTTGCAAAGTGGGTGTGAAGGCACAGGTGAGGCTGGGCTTGGGGATTGGGCGCCCGACTCCCTGCTGCCCCCCTCCCTGCACAGGGTTAGCTGCCAGCTCTCACCGGAGGCTGGTGTGAAGTGAGGGCCTGGCAATGGCCTGAAATGGGCGTCATTCGGGAACAGGGTCAGCAGGGACGTAATCAGGTGAGGCCGCACTAGAGCAGGGTGGGTGTGATTCCGTGCTCCGGGGGCCCTCAGAGGAAGGGGAAAGTGGAACACCCTGAAACGTACACGGGACTGCACCACATGAGGCAGCAGAGACTGGGTGGCGCGTGGTTCTAAGGGTTACTGCAGCCACCGGAGGCTGGAGGTGACGCCAGGAACCAACTCCCTCCAAACACCGAGAAGGAACCAACGCACCCGCTGCCCTCTCCGACTTCCGTCTAGGACCCCATCTGCCCGTGTTGTAGGGCGTGGTGCCGGGCCGGGCCGGGCAGTGGACTGAGCAGGGGTGGACCGCACCTTCCCCATGGGGCCTGGAGGCTGGTTCTGCCGGCTCCCTCCAGAGGCTGGGCAACTCCATCCCTGGGGACCCTGCAGGTGGAGAAAAAGCCAGTAGGCCAGATGTAGGGGAACACGCGACACCCCTTCCACTGTTCAGATTCAAGGGCACCAGTAGGACGTTCGGGGCATTTGGGCTGGTGTATTTCTCTCTTGCATTCTGGGCACAAAGGCCGTGTTTCAGTTTGTCCTATGGCACCTTGGCCGTGCCCTCCCTGCCCATACAGCAGTCGGGCCTCCCCTGGCTGTCCGGGACGCGAGCCCTCTGTGCGTGCTTTCCCTGCCTCGGGGCAGACGGACTCCAGAAGCCTATAAAGGGAATTGCCTCTCTGGGTCAAGGAGACCCTCTGGGGGTGGAGGGGACCTCCTGCCCCCACACTCCGCCCCCTCACTCAGGCCGCATCGGACTGGGACCCCTTTTCTACCAGGGTTAGAGCAGATTTTCAATGATGTTAGAAATCCAGATTTTTTTTTAGGTGAGATCACCGAAGTTTTAAAGGTCAGCCTGATCTTTCTATGGCCTATAAGCAGTTGCGTTGTCGTCTGTAAAACTGAATACTCCCTAGCAGGCATCTTCCCTGTGGATGTGAGTCTCTGGGACGGGGCACGCCCACCGTCCTCACCGCTGTCCCCGCGCTCATGGCCGAGCACCAGCGGAAATATGAGCGAAGGACCCACTGGCAACTGTTTGCCTGCATGGAGGGAGTTTGTGCGGCTCCTCTGCAGGGGGAGGTTCTTGGGCTGCCGCTGATGGAGAATCGGGTTCTATTCCCCCCGGAGTTGCTGCGGGCCCAGGCCCCCGAGGGCAGGGCAGAGGATTTTGCTGGCTCACACCCAAGGCTGGAGCACCGGCCCGCCACAGCTTCCATTACCACCATCTGTCTGCAGGCTTTTAGGAGCCAGCCCGGTGTGAGTTATTTGCAAACCCTGTCAGGTCCTGAAGGAGAGATTCTCGGTACCAATGTACTTTGTCATCACATGTCAACATCCCCCGGCACAGAGGGTGGTATTACACAGTGTAAGGGTGTAATTGGATTGCGCTGGGTCCCTTAAGTCTGCATTTTCATTTACCAAAAGCCACAGCATGTGGAGAGCCATCTGCAGCCCGTGCCAGCCCCGTGAGAGGTGAGCGCGCAGGGAGACACAGGACAGCCACAGCCGCTGGACACACACACGGTCTGTACAGTGGTCCGTTTATAAATATATATTACACTCTTACAGTCTACACGGCGGCCTAGGCGTGGGCGGGTGCGGGAGCAGGCAGGGGCTGCAGCAGACACAGGCCAGCGCTGGGGCCAGGGAAAGAAACGTGAGGGCCGAGGTTGTCGGGGCAGGGGTGACGGCTCAGTCCCCCTCCTGAACAAGGCGGGCAAGCCTGGGAACAGGGCAGGTGACTTGCTGGCTCTAGGATCCCGTCTCAGGGGAAACCCTCACATTGCAGCTGGCCGGGGAATGGGAGGCCCAGGGCGACGTGGAGGGCTGTGGTCACCCCATCTCGGGAGAAGTCTAGCACATGGAGAGACAGAAGGGACAGAAACCATGGCGAGAAGGAGGATGACAGAGACAGAGAGGACGGAGGGAGAGAGGTTCCCAGAGACAGAGAGATACTGGAAAAGAGGGACTGAAGGAGCGGAGGGGACAGGTAACAACACATGGGGGGACACAGGTGGACGACTGCGTGGCCTCTGCCCAGTCCCCTCCCCCTCCTCAGGATCATATCTAGTTGGCAACTGTCCACCCCACCGCTCTCTGCCTTGGGGTGCGCGTGGGCCGGGGTAAGCGTGCTCTGCACCCCACCCCCGCATCTCTGCGGACTTCACGTCTGAGGGTCGCAGAGCTCCTCGAGTGCCAGCTTGGTTTTAAGTGACATGAAACCTTTCAGGGCCAGCCCAGAAGGTGCCTGAGCTGCATCAGCCCCACACACAGATGGCGCATACCCTCCGTGCTCTGAGGGGAGCACCCTGACTTCCTACCTCCCTGGCTGAGTGTGCGCCCCGTCTCACACACCCGGAGCTGCAGCTCTGTACGCCCTGCACACCCCGCACGGACACCCAGGTTTGTCTCGACAGCTTCAAGGGAAAACTTCTGGACAGGGGACCTGACATGGCTGGTGACAGACCCAAGGCAAAATGTCCTTCTCTTTTTCCTGGAAAAGCAAAGGGAACGCATCGGACTCAGTGTGGAGCTCACTGTGGGTACCGCTTCCCCCCCAGTGTCGGGTGGTGCAGGAGTGACTGGGAGGCTTCTCTGTAGAATGTCACCTGAGAGATGACACCAAGCCCCGAGGGAAGAAAGACACCCAGTCAGTGCTGCAAACTGACCCCTCCCGGCACCCCAGCCGTGAATGACAGCAGGCTTGGGAAAGGTGACAGTACGCAGAAGGACAGATGTGACATCGTGGACTTGCTAAAAAGAGCCTGGTTCTGTGAACCCGACTGCAAGTCTACACCCAGTCCCCTTAGTTTACAGGTAAAGCAATGCTCTGAATCGCTCGGGGGATTTGAACTCGCTTGCTCTGGGTGTGTTACAAGTACAGTTATGGCCTCTTCATACACTGGTTCCTTTCCAGTTGCAGTGTCAGTAACCAGGGCCAGCACTGACCCGGCCTTCGGGACAGGATGACTTGCGGTCTGTCCTCGAGGGACTGCAGCACCAGCTCCCTCTGAGCGCGCTCGCGGTGAGGCCCGCTGCCCCGATCCTCCTGCCGATGCACGAGCGCGCCCGCCCGCGTTTCGCGGTCTTCCGCAGCCTGGCCTTGTTGACGCGCGGGCCTCTCATCTCCAGATGGCTTCGATAAAGGAGGGCGAGAGGCTGCTCTTCCCTGGAAGCTCTCAGAAGCTCAGTGATCGAACTCCCCTTCGTCCCAACCCCTCAAGCCCTGCTGCGCATGATAAACCTCTTAGCGCTGAACAGACTGCACTGGGGGTGAGCAGTGGTGCCGGCGCGGCCTCCTTGGCCCGGCTGGAGTCACTTTTCGGAGCTCTGCTGGCGGTGTCACCCTCGTCCTGTCCCGTCACGTCCCTCTGCCCCTGGTGCACCGTTGCCACACATCCCCAAATTAAAGGCCAAAAGGTGAGGGAGGAAGTCTGAGTGTGCCTGCTTACACATTCTCACGGGTCCTTTCCAGGTAGTTGGGCAGCTCCTGGCACCCCCCAGGGTCCAGGTCCTGGCAGACCCACTTGATGTCGTCCTCGTGACTCATGGCCGAGTTCCTGGCAGGACACTCATCGTCCGAGGAGATGGTGGTGAAAGTGGTAAACTTCACTCTTTTCCTTTTCGAGGTAGGGGATGTCGGGGGCTCGCTTCTCTGGTCTTTCCCGTCAGTGCCCATGGGCCCCAAAGGTTTGAACAGCGGCCCGTTGATGCCCTGCGGGGAGTCCCTGCTGAGGAGCTGCTTGCTCTCCTCGAAATCCAGGCCCCTGCCGATGGCGGTGACCTGCTCCTCCAGGGAGGAGGCAGAGTTCATGTGACTCTCCAGCAGCTCTGTCCGGTTGCTCAGCCCCACCCAGTCGTGGGAGTGACTCATACCCTCCTGCTCCTCGGACGGGACCTGCTTGTGCCTGTACTTGAGCGCGAAGGCCGCGCAGTTGATGAGGAAGACCAGGATGGCCAGGCAGAAGACGCCCAGCAGCGCGTACATGCCGGTCTCCAGGTCGCTCAGGCCCTGGGACGCCGGTGTGAGGCCGTTCTCGTCCGACTCCCCGTGGCTCCTCGGGAGGTCCGCCTGCGATGGGGAGCTGGCGAGGTCGACGGGGATGGTTTGCAGGTGGCCCCCGTCATCCAGAAGGCTCTCCTGGCCGCTCTTCTTGCGGAAGGCCGACCTCTCTGTGGTGGCGCCTCTTCCTTCCATGTACCCCACGGAAGAGCTGCTGTAGGGCTGGCCTGGGCCTCCCCATTCGTGCAAGGGCTTCTTGGGTCCTCTGTCACTGGCGCTGGCTTCCAGGGGAACGCCCGCCCCGGCGTTCCTGCCGTCGCTGGTGTTGGGGTTCGCGTCGTTCTGGCCGAATTTCACCGTGATGTGCGCTGTCCCGACGGCGAGCACACTCTTCCGCTTGGACTTCTGGCACGACTCGCTGATGGTCATCTCCACCTTCACCAGGGCTCCCTGGCCCTCGGTCTCCGCGGCGATGGCGGGCCACTTGAACTTGGGGTCTTGGTGGATGGAGACCACCTTCTCGTCCAGGGACGTGGCGATCAAGGAGAAGTCTTTCCCATCGTAGATGTCCAAGGGTGTGACGGAGCCGTCGCTGAACTGGACCCAGCAACTGAGGGCGGCTTCCTGGGGAGGGAGACGGCAGGAGTTAAACCGGGCCAGGAGCTCACGGGCACCGTGCGTTAGCAAGTGGAAGCGTGGTGGACGGAGCATTGCTACACGCACAGCCTCTCACATGGGCGGGGAGCTAAGGACCCGCCCCGCAGGGACCCCGACGCCTGTGCAGATGTAAAGGAGAACAACCGGACAGCGAGTGAGGACGGGACAGGGTGGGTCAGACACGCCAACACGGGCTTCTTCAACGTCTTCTCTGGAGGCAGACGAGGAGGCCCTTGGCTACTCAGAATCTGCCTGTGCCCTCCAGCCAAGAAGCACTGGCTAGTGGGTCCTTTACAAGGCTACCACTTCAGCAGAAAGCATTCATTACGTTCTGTTTTAGTTGTTTTAACACCGAGTCCCCACGCACTATTTGCAATGCAGATGAAAGCCCCTAACCCAGAGGTGGACACCCAGAGCAGCCGCAGGGTCTATAGGAACTGCTCCATTCCAGCCTGAGGTCAGCCTTGGCTTGGAGGTGAGGAGACACCAGTCAGCCAGAGAGAAAAGGGAAGCTGGTCGGAGAGTCGGTCTCCACCTCCACCCCTACCTCTGCCCAGACAACGGGTGGGACCGACACGCAGAGACAGTGGAGCCAGGCCACACGCAGCCTGGCCGCCTGCCCGTTCACTCTGCTCCTTCCGAACGACTTTCTCTGCTACTGGTCGGACCAGGCAGTCATTGGGGTAACTTCCAATTTAATGCAAGCCTTTAGTTTTAGTGGCATGTCATCAGGCTTGGCAGGGACGTGGCAGGGGGGTGGCAGGCGGGTCCGCGGCAGGCCACTACTTCCTCGCCCCACCCTCTGTCCTCTCGGAGAACCTGCTCTGCCCAGGCCTTACGAGGACGTGCCCTCCCGCCTGCACGGCTGACTGGGAGGAAGGAGGCGGCCGCTCCTAGGGCCCTGAGCCCCCCAGTGCGGCTCCCCCCCCCCCCCCCCCCC